GCGAATCGATAATAGTTTCAACAATGACACGGTTGTTAAAATATTTTAAATGGCACTAGAAGAGCTATTCGGCTACCTAAGCCTTTTTTGTTTGTTTGTATTTAATGCTTCAAATGCCGTTTTCATCAATAAAATGAATGGTAGTAAAGAATCCGTTTTGGTAGATTTTTTGAACCAGCTCTTGGTAGAAAAAAAAAACCAGTGGTAACCCTGGTTGGAGCTAGTTTTCACGCTTTTGCTTCCGTCGTTTTCGCACATAATTTTTGCAGTTTTGCAAGTGGTTAACTCACTCCATCTATTTAGCCCTGAAGAGCCTAATCATATTATCGTCTATTTCGTTGTACAAGTGTTGAAGTGGTCTACGAATGTAGTTTGTCTGTTCGAGTGTCACACTGGTGGCGTTCTTGGCAGTCTCATCTGCTAATTTCGTGATCTCTTTTGAGCGTCATGTATTGAAGTAGCAGTTATAACCATTGGTGTTTGCCCAGGTGCTCCCAAGTTCAAATAAATCAAATGATATCTTTTAAGTAAGTTTTTTTTTTCAGAATGGCTGTTGAAACATGTGTAAAGTTATATTAAAAAAATTTCAAATCTAAGAGAAACCGTCAACTTAAGCAATTTAAAATTTGACAATTTAGAGACCAAATTTACGAAAAAAAAAAAAATCAAATCAGTTGCTCTGCTGCTGTTCATTATGCCTTGGGAAGTCCATTGGAATCAATAGTTTTCGCGGAATTAAAACACGCTTTGTATGATCGTCGCCTCCATGACTGTAGGGACGCTAAAATGACACAAGAAAATACTGGGACACATAACCTTACCCCCCTATTATGAATTTCCATACGATAGACAATAACCGCTTGCAAGCGTATCGTAGAAATTAGTTTTCGTATTATTCTTTTCAAGCGCCCGACAGATGTATTATTTTTAATGTCGGTGGTTTTTGTTCACTTTTTATCGTTAACCGTTAGGCTAACTATCGGATTTGCTACAACGAACATCGGTTGATAATACGGGTAACAGAATGCAAGCGTTTATCGTGCATCATACGAATTCATAATATGGGGGTTAATGTTGAGATTGCGGATCTGTACACCATTTTTCTATATCAGTTCAATTTTCCAAGATACTTTCGTGGATGAGTAAATATGTACGAGGACTTTCATGTACGACGTGGCGTATGAGTAACATAATTTCCTGTCCATGCAAGAAATATGCAAGAAATTATTTCATCGACCTTTAGTTATAGATGTTTTTTTCTGGTTTCTTTTCGAGCCTGAGGTCAAGTTTTTGTTTTTGTTTTACAAGTGTCCGATATTTCGATATTCAGAAAAAAACATTCTTTCCTGTCCCTATATCATACAAAATATTATTGCATACGCGGTTTTGTTCTTTAAACGACGATATGTATTCATTTGACCATTCACAACTTCTTTATTTATCTATCGATTTTCATCGTTGGTAGCATTTTTTTTTTGCAAAAGAACAAACTTTACTGCAAACAATGTTGAAGTCTGATTTTTCTATAAAGATTGAAATATCTTGGGTAAATGACCATATCTAGAAAAACGGTATACGGATCCGTATTCTTCGTGTTTCGGCGTTTTTTGTGTCATTTTCAAACTTGAGATTTAGCTAATAAATTTTCAAAAAATCCTGTAACCATTTTCCCCATTATGGTTTTTAGAAGTTAATTAAAAGTGGCAGAGACTGTCCTTATTGTTATAAGATAAATAGAATTCCATGTCATGCCATTGAAATTCGCTCAAAATTTCCATTCAGCCGTATAACGCAATTATATATATTCATTTTGGCATTTGTTTTTTTTTATCTAGCTTCCAATAGAATACTCGGCTTAAAAAAAATAAAAAATGTAAAATATTTTATAACTCTAACGGCCAAAGAACCCGAAGTACATCTCCTTAGAGAGGTTTATTATAAGCCAACTCGTAAATTTAAAATACAAAACTTAAAAACAACCTGCATTTCTTATAGAACATTAAAAAAAATCTATAATCTGGTCAAAGCGAAAATGGTTACTGCGGCATCGAAGGAAACGATACAGACCAGGCTTCTTTCGGTAGAAAAGGTAAAAATAAATTTACTGCATTTTGTATACAATTTTCGCTTCAGCCCAATATCCTCCTCTGGCTATGCACTGTGAATTTGGCCCTTAGAGGTTTCCGCTTTTCATAGCGTGCGGTTCTGCCTGGTTCCCTATATCTTGTACATATGTATGTACCTAACTTTAATTAGCATGAAAACTAAATAAATAAAAATAAAATAAATATTTTCCAGTTAAGAAATTTATTTAGTTAAAACATATGTAGCTTTGAAAATTGTAAAGTGTTAAAATTTAAAGTAAAAAATTAAAATATGCGCACATACTTAAATATTTTTTTCAAAATTGTGATCAATCGAAATAATATGAAACAATTTTGTGATACAAATATAAATCGCTAACTTAGAGGGAAAAGTTGCTAAGTCCACTTTTTCAAAAAATATATATATATTTATATATAGCTTCATGCCAGAAGCAAAAACAATTACAAATGCATAACTTTTTTAAAAACCGAACCAACTGCTTTGTATCTAACCATTTTTATTCAGTGATATGCATATTTGTTAAGTCCAAAATATTCACAGAAAATTTGATAATTCCCAGATGATACAAACACTTTTCATTAACATTGTGGAATTTAATTCGTTCGGAATTGAAGTAGGCGAAATTTTTTATTAACATTGTTGCATACCAAGTGTTCGAAGAAAATGAGTTTAAAAGTTTTTTTATTCTCTGATGTAAAATTTAAAAAAAAATTGGACATGGCAATTTTTCAATCTAATGCCGAATTTCCACTACGCATCGAAATGACAAAAAACGTATGCCATTAAAAAAAAAAATTCTTGTGGAAATAAACTTAATGACTATTTTTTGATGTAATAACACGATTATTTTTTAATCACCGATCTTGTCATTCGTCATTTTTGCCATTTAATGCCTATTGGAAATCCAGCATAAGTTATATATGTATAACTTTAATTTAAAATTATTGAAAATATCGAACATTATAGTTAGCAAGGTGTCATTTTCTTAAATTTTTTCAAAATTATCCTAAATATTCAAACCCAGGCTCATTTGCTATAATTGCGATATTTTTTATTTTTTTATAAAACTCTTTGTTACGATATATAAGGATTTACATATGTACATATGTGGAAGGACATCGAGAGAATTTCTCGAATTCAGATATCTTTTGCAAATAAAGAATCACGTTTTTTCCGAACTTTTTTAATGACTACCTACTCTCTTTAAGATATACAATGCAAATACTGCATTTTTCTCAACAAGTATTTAGGTAATAGTAACCAAATAGATAATGTAGCTATAACCAATTCATGTGCTAAGATAAACATATTTCGTTGACAATGCTAGACTCTTTTCTCAGTGTAGATATATCGTTCAGATTTAGGGGATTGTTTAGGTCAAAAATCTTATTTCCAAACAAGTGGATTTTGGATTGGGACTCGTTTTGAAAACATATTAAAATCAGGTTTTAAAACCCCCATAGCCCAAGCAAAGATAACAAACACAAAAATCTCCATACAAAAAAATTGGGTTTTACAGCAGATTCTGAATACCTTGCCGACCGCTAAAAATGGCAAAGTCCTCAATAAAATCGAATTTTTTAACTTGGGTCCTAAAAAATTTGCTAAACAAATGTTGTTGAGCAAAGGATATTCTACCGAAATCGACAATAAAATTTTCATTTGGTTAACTTTAGTCCTAAAACTGACGCGCCCATTTACATATGGGTTTATCGCCTTAAGCAAAAATTTTGCCGAACAAACATTTTTACTGTATGGATATTCTATCGGAATCCGCAAAAAAAATTACATGCTCACAAACGCACGTTTTTGACACCTTGCTAATTATAGTGTACACACTTTTTTCTTATTTCTTTGCACCACATTTAATATATATAAAAATTCAGAGTTGATCAGTAATACTATTAGTGCCCATACAATGTATGTATGGATGTATGTGCGCATTTTAATTAAAAATGTGTACACATGTATGTCTGTACATAAATTTTTTTCACGCCGTGCTGTGTAGGTTTTTAAAACCCACTCGCGCAGCTTGAAAATTTCTTTGTTTAATGAATATATAAGGTATTAATGTATGTTTGGTTGTATTTAAAGTTAAAGTACATTAATTACCGTAAATTTTAATATTACATTTTAAATTTTTTTTCTTATTATTATTTTTTTTTTTGGTTGTAGATTTTATTGTCTCACATTAACGTTTAGTTTTTGTTGTTTGTTTTTGTGTTTTGTTTTGCTTTTAATTGAACAATTTTCTTTACACTTCTGCAATTTGCGTTTGCAATTTTTCTTTGTTGATAATTTTTGCAACTAGACTCCATTATTGTCTTGTGTCAACATTTTATTGTCAGCTTAAGTGCTAAAAAATTTTCATATAATCCATTGTACAATACATAATATTATTATAAAAAATTATTTCTCATCCTATAGAATACATCAATTTACAATTTTTTTTTTTTTGCTCCATTATTCTTTGCTTACACAAATATCCACACTACAACTATAAGAAAAACCCAGAGACCAAAAGTTGTAAAAACTTTAAGAAAAAAAATAAATTAAAAATTTATTACATATTTTATTGTCAGTATTTTAAGTATTTAAGTTGGTTAGCTTATTTGGTTGTGTTTTTTTTTTTTTTTACCTTACAAAATACAAACAAAAAGTTTGCAGCGTACACTTTTCCAGCTATCCAGTTAAGTGTGCCATCATCAGCGTCCACGCACCGGTACAAAGTTCAATAGAGGCCTACCTTAATACTTTTTTCGCATTTTTGTGTATGTAAGTACAATACTTGTGTGTAAGTATGTATACTCACTACGTCGCACACATTCGCTGAGGATTCAATAATCATGCACACAAAATCAACCGTTTTGTTTTCTTTTTTTTTTTTTTTTTGATTATTACTCGTAGTTTTGTTTTACTACATTTCTCTTTAAAATTATTGTCAAGATATGTTTTTAGATGATATTAGCCTGGTTGTTTGGTTTGCAAAACTTTCAGTTTGTTGAAACTTTCGAAGCGAAAACGTTTTTGGGCCTATCAAAATGCGCGCAAAATATGTATGTAGATTGAGTGAGACGCTTTGAAATGTTGTAAGTGGCGTGGCTACTCGCACGTTTTTGAACCTATAGGTGAGATCGAAAATCAATAATCATAATAATAGCTCTTTAAATTTGAATTTCTTTTTCACATTTTCGATAGTTTGAAAAGGATATGTTCATTGTAACTATATTTAAATACTTTTAATAGCCTTGATATGCGCTCATTCAGGATATGCTCTACTTCATTAAGAGGATATGTTCTCGTACGATAAAACGTAAATTGGAATGCTTAATTTACAATCCATATATGGCACACTTTGATTGGTCTCTTGAACATTTTTCACTTCGCATTTAAAAAAATTTACTAACTGCTTCGCGATATTGCCGACTATCAGGCAATTATCGACAAACTGAAAACATTTTGCGTCACAAACAGGCTAACAAGTGCTGAAACTGTGCACACAATCGCATTTGTGATGGTCAGCTGTAGTAGCGCAGCGGACGAGTCCTTGGCATCGATGACGTGTATCTTCCAGCCAAGATTTTGATGAGTGAAGCACTAGAAATAAAATTAGAGGAATTATATTTAACTAAATAGTATATGCATATGTAAATAAAAAGATAAATAAATATGAAGGTGGGATTGGTAGCTCGGTTTTCGATATCTTCCACATTACTTATAACACTGTAGTAACGCTAAGTTGACACACAAAAAACACCGAGACACGTAAACTTAATTTTGGGTCATTGATTAGGGATCTGTTTACCGTTTTTCTAGGTCAGGTCATTTTCTCATGATATTTTCATTTTATGCTTGCATTGTTGTTGAAAAAAAATTCAAACTTTAACGGGGAAAAAATTTAAAAATAACACAGTCGTACATGGCGTATGAGTAAAACATTATTTCGTGCTCATACCTCATACAAAAAATAAAACGTACTGATATTAACATGGTACAAATCATTACGCATTTTCATTTGACCATTCACAACTTTGATTATTTATTGTAAAAGAAGTGGCTTTAAACAAATGAAAAACGAAATAAGAAATCTTTAATTACAAAACAAAACCGACTTTAATTATCACATAAACATTTAAGAGTACCGTTAATTTCTTCATGATTCAATGATCTGATCTAAGCCAAAGTGATATGGGACCACCTCTGTGGTACTACCTTTTCTTTAAAAAAAAAACGTCGTCCAAAGTTATGTGGTAACATATCAAAAAAAAAAATAAATCCGACGAATTGATAACCTCCTTCTTTTCTTGAAGCCGGTTAATTAAAAAACAGTCTATTATTTTTTGAATTTTTTTCCAGTTATGGTTTGAATTTCTTTCTTGGGAAAATTACCTGATCTATGTAGAAAAACAAAATACAGATTCGTAATCCACGACTCAAAATTAAGTCCATGTGTTTCGGCGTTTTTTGTATCATTTAAAAACTTGAGATTCACCCTAAATTATTATGTAATTATTTAGTGTTATTAGACCAACTGATTTCTTCTTAATTCATTCGCCTTAAATGTATATATTTTCTGTTTGCTTTTACTGATTTGACAGCATTCCCGCCAAAAGCAAAGACAAAGTACATGAATTGTTGTTATTGTATTGTTGCTACCATCTTGTATAAATATGCCTTGGCATAAAATATATTCAGCTGAATTTAGGAATGAATGTCGAAGAAGAGCGTAAAACGTGGACTTTGTTGTGGGTTTCTTCCATATAAAAATAATTTTTAGACGCTTGAAACTTGCACATTATCAGACTAAAATTGGATGGGTTAAAATACTGCATACTCAAAAAAATCTAAAACTTCAGAGAAAAAAGTTTGAAATTTAGGTAAAATTTTTTGAATTTTTTTTGTCCTTTACAAAGTTTTTAACTTTGGTTTATTTATATGGGTTTTGTTAGAGAATGAACTGTACTTTAGCTGAAAATTCTTAAAATTAAATAATTAAACATAAGCGGATGGGATATTCATGGCAAGAGAGTTTCATTTTCTGCCACACCCTTCGCTAGTTTCCAACAATAAAATATAATGTAATCTGAAACTTAATTTATCAGACGGCTCTACATATTTTTCGAGAAATCTTGCATATACCAGTTGCGTTCCTTATCTCCCAGAAATAGTCAGAAAAAGTCCGAAGTAATCAGATTTAGTCCGAAAAGCCTTCCTTAACTCGAAAATGACAGCAAAAATGAGAGAACAACACACAGTGAGAGTGACTCTCTTCAGTCCGAAGTAGGCAGATTTAGTCAGAAGAACTTTTGCTGGCAAACTCTTGAAAAGTGTCAAACTCAACTAAGTTTAAATTAGCGGAAATTAAAGAATACACAAAAAGGGAGAGTAATCTACAAAGCAAAAAAAAGTGAATTGAAAGTAGAAGCAGGCCAAAAATAATTGATATAGTAAGTGTTTATTGTGCTTGGGCTTGTGTTTTGTACATACATTTCCATACATTGCCATTCTTTGGACTAAAAATTGGTTTTATGCGTTCCTTTACTTTTTCCTGTTATTCTCTTTTAGTGAGGGCATTTTGCTTACGTTCTTGCATTTTGACACTTTTCAGATTTTAGTCCGAAAAGATAAGGAACGGACATAAAGAATCAAAACACGAAAGTATCAAAAATAATTACTATTTAAGGGATATAAAAAGAAATCTTAAAACTCGATGTATAGTTTTAGTAAGTTTAAAATTTAGAACACCTACATATATTCGGTTCTTATTAGCCTAAAGATTGCCTGCCTCTGGCATAGAGTCGTGCGATTTTATTTTTTTTATATTTTTTTTGATGAATGAATGTATATCAGAATCGCAGCGCCACCAGTGAGCAAAACTATATATCTATTTGGCCTGCCACTTTTAGCTATTTCATTTGCCTCGCTACCAGAGCTGATTAAAAAAATCAGAACAAATCAACCTCTAAAACAATAAAACCGATAAGTTAGAGATATAAGGGGTAAGTTAAGATTTCTGTCCAACAGATTAAACAATGGAGCATTATTCTATCCTTTCTAAACCCGACCAAAAAATTATCAGAGCCCTTCCTGAACTTACTAACCAACCAAAAGGAAAAATCTACCCATTTTACATAAATCGAAAGCCCATAATGGCTGCGGCAAAAACAGAGGGGAACGAGAATCTCTCCCTGGAACAACCAATTTCCCTACAATTTATTTGTTCCACTGTCTCACCTGATAATAGAGCAGATCCGGTGCATCCAATGGTACTGTCCAATTCAAATAACCCGGCTCGCCCTCATCACAATCCAACATCACCGTCTTCATATATTCCTCAAAGGTTTCGATCTCGGCTGAGCGATCAACAGTGCGATGCACCCATTCACAATATCGGCCAACTATGAAAACAGAAACAATGATTTCTTCTACTTTTAGAGATTTCCCATTTGTTTTTTTTTTCAAATTTAACTTACCTGCAGTTGGTATTGGATTACCATCCTCATCGAATTCCACGCCGGCATAAGTCTTTTGTTTGCTTAATTCAAGGCCAATCTTTTGTCCTAGACCACCTTCTGGTGAGTCCGTAATATAGAATGGATGGTATCTGTGAATTAGGAAGTTAAAAAAGTGCATATGTATTTGGGTTGTAACAAGCGTTCGCCTTTTTTATTACCTAGCTGGTTGCGCGGGATTATTACCGCCTTCGACATGGAACTCATAAGTTTTGCCACGCTGCACCGTTATCTCTGGTATCAGCTGGTCGTTCAAGTACCAAGAAATACCCCACGACGGAATGCCGGTGATTGGTGTATAGCCACGCTTGCCACCTGTAGGGCCAATACGTGCTGTGAACACAGTCGCATTATCAATTTTGCGAGTAGGCCATGGCGTGGGACCACTCTCATCTTTGAGGCCGTACAGTGAATTCTTGCAGGAATGGTCATTCTTGAGGGAGAACAAAAAAAATCATAAAATACGTTTTATACAACGTTCTGGGAGTACTCTTCTTTAGCTTACCCGCGATGAGAAGTTAATGCGCACATCTTCGACTGTGTGATCGGTGCCGGTGTGCGAATGTGCATTCGCCTCCTTGCGACTGTTCAGCGGCCCGATCGCAGCAATTACAGATACTTCGCGATCGATTGGTATAGCGAAATCATAAATTGGTTCATTGGTTTGTATGAGACGTTTATACCGTATGCTCGTCACACCATTCTTTCGATCGCCGCTCACTGGAAAAAAGTATAAACAACCTTACTCACACAATAGTATGTAGAAAAACATTTGAAGTTTACGCACGAACAACAACGTCATTGCGTCCACCGATGCGTTCGTCTGGACAGGCGCCATGTTGGCCATCGCATTGCGATAGGTCGGAGATGAAGTAGTCTTCGGCACGGAAGACGCGTGCGGTGGTATCGTAGAAGGCCACAACCACATCGGATTGCGACATCTGAGCGCGCCCATTAGCGCCCGACAGACCAAAGGCCATATACTGATCCTCGCCGATGCGACCGAACAGCTCAATTTGTATGTATTCACCTTGTATCTCCCATTTGACTTGCAACTTGTTGGCTATGATTTCACGACAGTTGGCGTAGACAGGGCGGGGCGTTGTGGTGGTCTAGAAGAGTAAAGTGGAGGGAAAGGGTTGTTAAATAATCAGATCGATTAAAAATGTAAGTAATATTTACATATGTTGTATGTACAGGTCGTATGAATGAACTACGAAACGCTTTGGTAGTCTAAACTAATACTTACAGGTGTATACCACCATGGAGGCTAATGCATACGAAAGATAAGAATATAATGTTTAATGAGATTTTTGTATGGCGATTATTTGATTACAAAGTGCGCGCGTAAAATGCTTACGATAAAATGAATGCAAAATGAATTTACAGAACGAGATTCGGAGGGGTCAACTAAATGTCTGTATGTAACTACATACATATGTACATAAAAACGAAAGAGGAACATCAACCAAAAAGTGCTGAAAATATACCGAATCACTGTAATTATTTACTGCATCAAACATATAATTTACCGTTATCTTAGTTTGTCCCAACGCTGGCGGCACATCCAAATCTTTGGGTATAAAAACATGTCCAAAGTTATGTCTATACTCCACACACCAAACCGACAGCCAATCGATATCGTAAACGGTTAACGAACCGGGCAGCTGGATTTCAATATCTTCGCCCTGATAGCCACGCAAAGGCTCGAGTGAGCCCACTTCATTGGGCACCTATAGCGATTCGGAATTTAATGATTATTAATGAGCAATTCTCTTTTTAAATCCTTAAGTCCTTAATAGTATGTATACATATATTTATTTATGAAAAAACTCACCTTCACGCCCATTATGTTGGGCTCGCTACCGTTGCCAACCCAGAAGTAGGCATCTGGACCAGCGCCATCGTAGTGCAAATTTGGTATGTAGAAAGTTTTGGCATCCAAGACACTTATGTTGCTTGAACGTAGTCCATGCGCCAGACGCTTGAACTCCGGTAGGACGCGTGGCTTTGGAACATCGAGATTAGGTGGGATGAAAACTTCACCGAAATCAACCTGTTATGAAAGACATAAAATATAGATGAGTTAAGGTAGAAGGAGACGAAATTGTGGAAAATTTATAGTTTTCGTTAAACAAATTTATGTCAATAATATAAATAGGTAAATAGGTAAGAAGTAGGGAATAACTCTAATATTTAAATTATTTTCTTCCATAAATGATTTTTGCAAAACTAACGCCGAATATTCAATATTTTCAATAACATTGCCAGGGTAGCATTAACGGAGGGACTGGATTCAGTCACAGTTAATCCTTCCATACATATGTAAATATGTATAGGCTGGTCCATACAGTGGACCATGTTATTGGACAGTGAGAGTTCACATGTTGATTTTTGTTTATTTATTTAAATTTTATTTTTAGAAAACCTTATACATACATATGTGGCCAAACTGAACTTTACACATAAGCTCTGGCAACGCTTCAAGCTAGCAAACTCTTTTTCATCTAAATATCTTCATTTTTGACATTTTACATTGATAATGTTAACGTTATGTGTTTATCATAAAAATTTTGTTTTGTTAATTATCAGAAAAATATGTCAACAACAATTTTATTTCTGCAGCAACCAAAAAATTTAATAAACAGGCAAATTTCATTATTTGATGGAATTGCGGGAACAATAGTAGTAGAGTCAATTTTAGATATAAGATGTGCCCACCAGCTAAGCGTAAATGATGTCTTTAAAAATGAAGAAACTAAAAACTATTTTTTCCACTCGTTGAACCCGAATCCGAAGTCCGTTAACCTCCATAATGTCTGGTTCGCGATCACATGAGGGTCAAATTGGAAAAAAAGTTTATTAAAAAAAAATAAAAATAAAATATCCCTTGTCTTCATGTCCTTTGATTCTTAAAGGTTTACTAGAGGTCATGCCAAGGTCATTTCAATATCAAATTCAGAAGAATTGTATTGAATTTTCAGGTTTATTCAATCCTGACGATATGGAGGCAAAAAGGCCACGGATTTGCATTCAGGCCATCGAGTAACTTAGGGATATAGAGGTTTGGTTCATTATGCATAAACTTTTTTTGTGTAAACCTGTGTAATTATTTTTTGTTTCGCTTTTTGTTTTTTGAGTATTATCTTCCATATAACAATTTCTATACTCGACTTTGTTTTGAAAATTCTCATTAAAAATTATGAAATTTTGGTGGAAATTCAGTGGCGAAAATATAAATAGGGCAGAGACATTTTAGCATTCTTCTTCTTGCATTCTTTGTCTATATATATTCTTTGCCTATATACCTTTCGTTTATTTATGTTTATTATTTTTTTTATGAAAGTGTAGCTCATTATCCGTACCGTAAAAAAATTAGGCAAAGTTTCATCCAAATTTTTAGCTTTTTAATTAAATGTCTTAACAAAATTTTGAGTATGCAGTTTGTTAGGCAATTCACAATAATCTGCAAAAGGTAGTGCCAGTTGCAATCATTGCTAGAATGAAATGTTTTAGTGTGCTTTCGAACAAAATTTTTCTAGCAGAGCCGCTGGATCTTGATAACAAAATCTCGGTTTTAGTATTTTTTAACCATCTTTTTCTAATAGAACACGCCAGAATTTTGCTTACATACAGATTTCTTCGCAAATCCACTTTTGGAGAGCAAGTGATTGATATAAAAATATCTCTAATACTTGGGCTTGCCAAAATAAGAACTTTTATAGTGTGCTTAAACAAATTTTAACGAATAATTAACCAAGCAGGACAAAGCCTTTCACAGTTTTTGGTGGAAAATACATCAACCAGATATGGGCAATTTCACAGTGTATTAAAATATTTAAAACAAAAATTTAATTTAAATATTTGTGGCGAAAAATGTTCGTTTAATTTTTAGCTCCATTCGATACTTTGCATTTTGATATACTCGTACAAGAATTATGATTGGTTGTTGTTATTAGTACTCTCGCAAGTAACAAAAATAAATGCATGCATTTCGATGCAAAGGATATAAGCTGTGGCAACATCTGCATACATTTGTGCATACTTATAAACACGACTAAATATCCTCCATTTTTTTTTCAATTTATTAAAGCTATGCTTGGCCAGCACGGCAGAAAAAATAATAAAACTAAAACAAAATGGACGTAAGGCTCCGAAGATATAAAAATGCAAATTTTTAGTAAAAATAATTACATATGTACATACATATATCATTTCTGTACATATTTACATACATACGTATTTCCGTGTTGGCAAACGAAATAATTGCCGAAAATTCTCATTTGTTTTATATACACACACCCACTGCGCTAACAAAAAAAGGCGTATGTATGTATGTATATATACATAGGGAGCTTTGCATAGTATAAAGTTACATATGTATGTATGTGTATACATAAAAATTACATTATATATACTTATACATATACTACATTTTAATGATATGTATGTACCTTAAAATAGGTATTAGTAAAAGTATAAAGCAACTCCAATACACAGAGTCGAATGCGGGTAAATATGCGCGCGCATACGTATGTATTTATGTATATGCATATGTGCGTATGTATGTACATAGGCAACTGCATTTCCCCATCTTCTCCAGTTGTGGTGAAAATAGAAGCACGTTTGCAATTGTGGTAGTCCAAGGGATGTCAAGGAGAAAATACTTATTTATGTACATACATATATGTACTTAGGTGACCAGAAGCACAAATGAAAATGTGTTTTAAATATTAAATTTTATTATAAAAACTAGTAAATACTCGGCGTGCTTCAAGGCGTGTATTGTAATACATACATACTTTTTTCATTAATTTTATCAGATTAATTGATCAGGTGGCAACTCTCCTCAAAACTATTTTCTTTCGGTAATAAACTTTTCTAAACCTCTTAAGTTTGATACCCATATTGCAATATTAGACTTATCTTATCAATTATATTAAATTACAATTTTCAAACAAGTGGCAACTCTGTAATTTTTTTCTTTCTATCTTTTAAGTTCGACCTCTACCAATATATAGATGAAAACTGCATTCAATTCCATGCATTACTTTTCGAGTGAAGCGCATACTAACATACAGACAGACAAAAATTCTAAAAGTGTTGATTTGGCATCTGTTGCTCTAATAGAGACCCCCCATATTAATTCTTCTTTAAAGTCTCTAATGTACAGATATCGGCCTGTTACAATTTTATTTTACGTATAGATAATAACTCGAGAAAAACATCCCTAAGTTTTTACAGACTACGAGTACGAAATTCCCGACATGGAAGTTTTCTCATTTCTAAATGTTACCAGAGTTTGCCAAAATTCACTTTAAACTACATACTACCAAAGTACAAAAACAGTAATACTGGAGTAGATACATTTATTGAATTCACCACAATTGTCCATAGGTAAAAAAGTATTTCCCCTGGATATACATACGTACATATGTATATATGTACATACATATAGCGCATCATTCATATCCACTCTGAGAACGCGAACGCGCAGACTGCGCAGGTTATGTACATACATATGTACTATGTAGGAATGTATGTGTTTAGGTGCATAAATATGCACTGTTGCCAACTTGGTGCTTTTGGCTCTAAATTTAGCGCTTTTTTCAGTTTGGTGCTTGGTGCTTTTTTTAGTTTGAAGACACCAAATCTGTAAGTCTTAAGAAAATCGAAGCTAAATTAATAGCAATCGTAAATATTTTAGCAACCTTAGAAAAATGGAAACATAGTCATGGCACAAGGACACTCGTAAGCGAGAATATGTTTGCCAACAAAATTTTGACACACAAAAAATGTTTCCCACTATGCGCTCAAATAAGGCGCATTACAAAAGGAAATCAAATTTTTTTTCTTTATGTTTCAGATGTCGAGCAGTCGGAAAGAAAAGTTCTTTATCTTCCTTTAGTTCACGAGATCCTAAGAGACTGCAGTGTAGATTTCAACTACCGCACTTACAGGCATGTTCTGCAAATCGTACATGCCAAATTTTTGCCTCTTTGTTATTAATCCTTCGAAAGAGATTTTGTAAATCGCACCGATTTGAAAACGTACGATTTGCAGATTATTCCTGTTAGTTCATGAAACTTCATTTTTTTTTTTTTGCTTTCGTTTGACAGGAATTGTAGAAAAAAAACTATGTAAAAGGAAGGAAAATTTAACATATAAATAGTTAGGAAAAAATATTATAAATTTTTCTTAAATCTACGCGAAGCGGCAACGCCGGTTACAGCTGCAAATTAGAAAATAAGAACAAGAATATTGTCGACGTAAATATATGAATTTATGGAAAACAGAAAAAGATCGACCGTCGAAAATGAAACATTGATTTTTCTTAATTTATTTCGGCATCTCTACAAAAAAAAAATTGTATGCATGTAAAGTCCATTACATACACCGATAAAAATTTGGTGCTCTTTTCGAGAAAAAACGCGATTTTTCTTGGGTTTTAGTGCGTTTTCAAATTCAAAACTTGGCAACACTGTAAATATGGATATTGTACATACATATGTATGTGTACAACTATGATTTTTGGGTAACCACATTCAGATATACGTACATATTAGAGTGGACCGCTTTTTTGGAATTTTGAGTGGTAATAGCAAAAATACGGCTCATTACGTTAAAAAAAAAAACTGTGCGCTAGATTAAAAATTTTGGTCAATATCTTAGGCTCGCCCAAGTCCATCAAATTTCAATGTGCTCAAAAAATTAAATTGATATTGACCAAAAATTTTCATCTTTCACACAGATTTTTTTTAGAGCATAATGAACCATATTTTTGCTATTACCAATCAAAATTGTAAAATAGCGGATTTTCGGCCCACGCTAATACATATGTATGTATGCACCTAAGCAAATACATATGTACATTGCTCCCCATTTCCGAGTACGCTCCCACACACATACATACACGTATACATACATACATACGTACGGCCCCCCGCCCCCCTTGTATGTACACACTTGAGTTAATCAAACATGTCTGCTGTAATTTATTTAACCACGACGCCATCTTTTATTCTCTAAGTCAGCGAAATTGCCTCGCCCGCCTCCTTTGTGAGCGACCATCGCAGCAAAATACATAGCAGCACCTTCCGTTTCTTGTTTTGGTTTCTTGCGTTGCTTCATGCTTTCTTTATCCCACACATTAACAATAAAATAATGTTTTATGTCTTCATTTTTACACGAAAATGGAATAAAACAAAATTATCTACATAAATCATTTATGAAAATTAAACAAACACACACAAAACACATATCTGCATACATACATGCTTTGAAGGAAGGGGCACGTATACGCTCGGCGGGTATGTATGTATGTTTGAAAGGGCAAATTTCAAACGAAAAAATGGGCGCGGCTCAATTATTAACCCCGTAAACAAAAGATCCGCTATTCTTGCTTTAGCCGGCACAGACATTGCTGCTGCTTCACTATTTATTTGGTTTTTTTTTTTGCCGTTATTGTAGCATATTTCCAGGCGCAAAAGCCAGTTGTGTCGAGTGTCTGCAAAATACATACTCTTGTTTCCTAGATACGTATGTATGTATGTATGTAAATATGTACGCTTGTTTGCGAGTGTAAGTAGTTATGAGTGCATGCCTATAAGATTGTTGTAGGGTCATAACTTACATGGCATTGATATTTTTCGCCGGCGCAAAGATGAACCACAATTCGCAGTCAGCATATATATCAGTACATATGTATATGTATGTATATGCATTTGTATAAATACACAAGTGTGAACGTGTCAAAACTGCGCCAATTGAATTTTTCATGGCTTTATGTTCAGCTATTTAACACGAATCATTTTGCACACCTGTCTCATAAATCGGCCCTCAATGAAATTCACGTTGATCGGATTTTAGAATTTCGCTTTTGCTTTTACTGTTATGTGATTTGCTGTTTGCAATTGTTGTAGTGTGGATATGTGCTGGAATGTACATACATACATATGAACATATAAATGTATAGTACTGCCGCTGCAGGAAGCTGGATTGTGATTGCTAACAAATATTGACACAATCGATTAGTGTGCCAATATGACTTTGAACCTGGTTCAGGGTAAAGATTTGACATGAATCAGCGTACTTGCGTGCATACATACATACATACGAATATCTACATTAGACTGCATCACCCAAAAAAAGTTGCGGTTTTTTCGCCGAGATTACAATATTTATTATATTTTAAGACGTGAGATGGCCCAATTTGAAAATACCTCCAAAAATGGAATTTTTTATGAATAAAAATAGTTTCTTAAAGAACTTTTTGAAAAAAGTCCCCCCAGATGACAAAACAGATTAAGCTTAAAAAACCTGCATACAAATATTTAAAAGTCTTTTCTACGGAATCGTAATAATGAGATTTTTGATGCTGTTTTTTAATATTTTTCAAAGATTGATTTACGAAAAACTTGAGTAACTGCGCCAAAACTATTCTGATTTAGACTGATGGGATTTCAGTGAAAAGTTATTTTCTCACTATTTTTATTTATTTGCAACAAAAGTCAATCGCGTCCCAGTTTTTTTTTTGAAATACCAACATATCTTAAATAATTCAACTTTGAATGACGTGCGTTCATCCTAACTTTCTCTTTCATCCTTTATTAGCAAAGAAATGAAAAGGGTGAGAAAATACCTTTCCAATGATAACTCACAAGTCTAAATCGCAAGAGTTTAGGTTCAGTTATTCAAGTTTCTCTTATACCAATGTTTGAAAAAGTTAAAAAAATAGCATCGAAAATCTCATTATTACGATTCCGTTAAACATTTAAAAAAATTTTTTTTTTAATATTTTTATGCAAATTTTTTGAGCTTAAACCGTTTTGACCTTTGACGGGATTTCTTCAAAAAACATCTTTAAAAAACAATTTTGATTCATAAAATACTCCATTTTTGGACGTCTTAGAATATAATAGATTTTATTATTCCAATGGAAACACAGAACTGATTTTTTTTTAGTATGAGTAGTGATGCAGTCTAATGTACCTATGTATGTGCATGTGCAACGATATCTACATATCGTCGTTTAGGTTCAAAACCGCGTATCGTGATTCTGCAAAGCCGCGTAACTGACATTGGCTGCCGAAAATTGGATTTTCTCACACGAGCTCTTGGCTCAATCCTTATCCATTCGTCCTGCAATATACTAGGCAGATATGCGATTGCTTTATAAAAACGAGAACCATTTTGAAATATGAGTGTTTTTACCCTCTAGAAAATAATTTCTACAACTTCACGCACGCGGTTTTGCATTTTGTTGATACGCGGTTTTGCACTTTAAACGACGATATGGATTTTTTACTCGTTCCTAAGCACATACCGATTTGTTTGTAAACACGTAGTCTTAAATGGAACTTTTACTTTGGGCTAAGTAATGGCATAATTTCGCCTATGATATCGATGATGCCTGTGGATTCTCCCTTGACGGACCTCTTCCAAGATTTGTTGTAGACAAATCCTTCTTATTGAAGGATATTGCAGGACCGATCAGGTAGCCAGTAAAGATACCAGTGCTGCAAGTTAAGGATTAGATGAATTCCAGAGGCGAATTTGTCATGGTGAAATGAGGGCACTTGTATAACAAGTAGACTACTATGACCGCAAATTGATAAGAAAAAAACGGAAGAGGTGCTCAGCCTCTCACGACAGGACATTTCGATGGTCAGGGCTTGTCTAACCGGTCATTGGTAGGCATGCTACGAGATTACGAATATTCTCCCATGAATATTGCAGAAGTTGCAAAGATGAGGAAGAAGAAGAAACTGTTGAGCACTTCTTCTGGAGCTACCCCGGTTTAGCTAAGAGCAGAGCGGGCTTTTTAGGTAGGCACTTTTTAGCTCTCTTACTGAACTATCCGGCGTAGGAATGAAACCAATCCTACGCTTCATAAGAGCTTCAGCATGGTTCTATGGAGAATATTCACAGAGGTTCCCATGTTTCACAGCGGTATCATAAAGGACATGCAAGGTCTAAGTGAGTTGGTCATTTTAACTGACAGCCGCAAACGGTGACGAGCCGATTTCCCACGCTATTAAATTATAAATGCATAGCTTATAATGCGCCTAATCATAAAGGTTTAAAGGGCTTCATATTTTTTTCCAAAGCTATGTTTGTTATTGCCAGAACTCTTTTAAGGCTTTCGAGGTCCTTTGTTCAATGTGAGACTTCTAAAAAAGTTTACAATCCAGGATTCCACCCGAATACTTCACTACAGCAGAAATTTAAATTTCACTGTTTTGCACAGTGTTACGTTTCCCCAAAATAAACTTTTTATTTTACATTTTTTCTTAATTAAAAAATTAATTATAGCATCTTCCGTACGCTGCAAAAGTTTTATGTAACCAAATTTACGATTTGACAAAAGTCAGCAAAAAGGTTCAACCACAATTAGGAGAATTTCTAATAAATATGTAACCACAATAAAAAAAAATAAATAGAATCCAAGGAAATCAAAGCAAAGCTTCTTACCGTAAAACGTCTACACCACACGGACAGCCACCGTATATCCTTAATCCTCTTGCCCATGGGCAGACGCAGTATGATGTCGGTATTGTTGTGGGCTTGCAAAATTGGTGGATCGCTGCGGGTGAGAAGAAAAAGGGAGAAAAATAAAGAAATTAGAAAACAATACTTGACGATAACTTTGCGCAGGGTGAAAGGGTGTAAGCGAGGTTTTATAAGCAAACCTAGTGCATACATACATATATGTAGACTCGATACGCACATACATACATATTTATGAATGTATACACACATCCAAGGGATTGCACAAAAATAAAATGATTTTGAGTGAATACGTGCCCATACTATGACTCACGAGATTTTCAATACACATTTCAAATTGTAAAAAAGTAGCTGTGTATTTACCTACAGCAGGGTGGTCCTAAAAAAATCAATAACTAAATTTTGTATGAGACATGCCTTTACTTTGCTCTACGTTCTAAACAAAACCCCAAAATTGAAAACAATTGTTTAGAAGTCATTTCGAGTGTTTGAAAAATTTACATTTTCTTTTTACAACGCCAAAATGGACCAATTTTTATTTGAAATCTGATAAATTTTACATGTTACAACGTGCGACAGTAAATTCTACACACAAAAAAAAATTAATATATTCCCGAAACCATGGGCAAAATATAGTAAAACCGCCGTTTCAATTTTTCACTCTGAGGTCAGGATTTTTTAAAGGACTTTTAAAGGAAATTTCAAAAATAGGATTAATTTAAGAAATTATTAAGAAATTTCAGTGCAATGTAAAATAACAATGTGAGTATCAAACAAACTCCTATAGAATTAAAAAATATTAAATTTTTCGGTGCATATAGACGAATGGGTATGGAAAATTTGCTTTTAGAATTTTATCCTTGAATATTAAGAAAATTGCTACACTTATTTTTGAAAAATTATATATTAAGGAGTAACATACACACGACCACATTCTCGAGTTTCGTTCTACTAACTTTATTAACTTAAAGAAATAAAAGTAATTAAAAAGCGCATTTTCAATACTTTTTCGTCCTTATATACCAAAAACTTTATTGTTTTTCAAAAAATTTCAAAATTTTAAAGTCCTTTTAATTAATCATATCTTTAAAATTTCAAAGTCCTTAAAAAAGTCTTAACGTCAGAGTGAAAAACTAAAAACGCATCTTTACTATACTTGGCCCATTATTTCGCAAGTATATTGATTGTTTCGTGTGTTTTGAAATTTTTTTGTTTTTTTGTTATTTAAACTTATTCATATATGTATGTACATATAAGTTTCTAAATTCGATTTTTTGTTTATTTAAAATTTTCTCAAACCATTGTAGCAATAATTAAAAATTGTTTTAAACTTTTGAAAATTTCATGGCTTTCTTTATTTGGTACGTAGAACAAATTAAAGAGGTGCCCCATGATGTTTCTCTTTTAAGGACCACCCTAATCTACAACTACTCTTTATGCAATTCATTCATTGGATAAGTGGTTAGCATTGCCAATGGCATTTCATTTATTGGTCATAAATTCCGACTATAATTTAAATTATTTACTATATAAGTGAATTTGCACACCTCGTAACTTTTTGATATTGATTAGTAATGCAGCTTGGAATATTTGCAACTTTCAAAAATACTCACTCAAAATTCAAGGCCGTCGCAGTAAATCAAATGATTACAATTCCACGTGATTACGGTTGCAATGTTATACATCTGTGCATAGTTATTTACATAATTATATACATATGTACATACCTACAATAGGAGCTAATGAATTTGTTGTTTATTTTTGAAAATAATTTGTTGTTACTTTTTAATAAAACTAGCGATATTTATATATGGCACTTTGAGATCAAGAGTAGCCTAACTGACAAAAAAAATTATAATGAGGCACAGCTAACTAAAATCGAAACATTAATAGTCCAAAGCACACCCTTTTAGTTTTATGTATATTACTGTAATAGGTAGCATTATGTAGATGCAATGAACTTTGCCGTAAAGGGCATTGTTTCTTATTTATAGATCCTTCTTTCTCATCCCTGCAGGGAAAGCTACTAGATGTGAACTAGAATTCTACCAGTTTGCATTTCAGCCCAACTAGTTCACGTTCTATCCTTTTTCAATGTTAGCGACTGGTATTTTTAACATTGCGATGTCCTACGAGATGTCAATTGTCAGGCTATGCATCAGCATCTACTAGTAGAAATACTAGTAGCATCATACCAGTTGATGAGATAGTCTGCCAATTCATCCCCCATGAAAAGCATTAGTATGCCTTTTTGCTCACGGCGCTCCAACAAAAAATTTTTTTTATTTTATTTTTTTTTATAATATTTCTTTTATTTATATTTTATATTTTATTTGAGTGTTTTTTTGTTATTCTTAAATTTAATTTAAAAAAACATTTTTTTTTGTAATCTCATTTTTTTATGGCACAAGTATTTTTTCCCACATATTTGTTTCTTTTTTTTTGTAATGCAACCAATTTTTAAGTTTGTTATTTATATTTAAATTGAAATAATTATTCCTACTTACATTAATCTAACTTTAAAAATCTTAACCACCTCCAAGCGGCCTCGAACCTGCGATCCCAGAACCAGAACCAGTAGTCTTCGCGTGACGCCACAGCCGACATTTGTAAGAAAAGCAATTAATTGCGTTTTATTTTAGGCTTTGGCAATTCAAAGGCAGATGTCGCTGAACGCTTAAGTTCTTCGAAAATGTCGACTGGTAGGCACATACTAGTTTATGAACTAGTATTTTTTCTAACTGGTTTGGGTTTTTACTGCAGGGATATATTACTCAAAACAAATTGTTTGTGGATAGGCTACTCTGACTCTCATCGTCTCATATGAACTATGCATACATATGAACAGTATGTATAGTATGCATAGTATAGTAATGTGTGTATAATAGGGTGGTCCAAAAAAACTTAAAATCCGAATTTTAATGCTCGCATACCCTTGAATTGTTCTATACCGAAAAAACATACCCCTGTTTTTTATTTATTTTGAAATCAAATAATTCTTAGGGGTCGCTCAAAGCGCTCAAAATTTTCCATGCATTTTATATGGGGTAAAACAGTTTTTCGTAGAAATGGTGCGCAAATCTTTACAGTAAATATTTTTCGATCGGAGAACTCTGTTTCGCTTTAGGAGACTTCCAGTAGTAATATCTAATTTTATATTTAACCATTTTTTAAGATTACCTATTTTTTGTAGGTCTTCCAAAACACCCAAAAAATGCAATGGAGGGACCCATAAAAATTTGATAGTATTAAATTATGGTTAAATAAACAATTGGGTAGTATTCCCTGAAGTTTTCTGAAGAGAAACAGAGTTTTCCAATCGAAAAATATTGATTTTCAAGAATCCAATATCATTTCCACAAAAACTTGTTTTTCCCCATATAAAATACAGCGAAACTTTGACGCCTGATGATTTCGAAAAAAAAAAGCTGTGGTAAGTTTATTTTATATATAGAACAATGCTAGGGGTGCGAGCAGTAAAATTCCAACTTAAATTTTTCACGTGCATTTTTGGACCTTCCCCCCCCCCCTAATGTAGCATACATACATGGTATAGAAAGTTGCTTGCAAAAACAATTCTAAATTCCTTATGTAGGTTAAGAATGTTTTAATCCTTTGGCTGCTTGTAGATGCCACTCCTCCTTACTAAGTCAAGGTTTTGCTCATTAGTGACGACCTCTACTATCTCATAATAAATAAATATATGTATAGTACATATGAATATTATGGCTACATACATACGTACATGTCTTTGTATACATACATATAAATCATAATTGATATAGTGCTCAATAGTGCTATCATTATTGCTTGTCAGAAATGAGGTCTAGAATAATATAAAGTAAAATATGTGCTTAGGTGGCAATGAGATATAAATACATATCTATTAAAAGTACAAATTAGTGAGCATGGGAAAATATGTCTTACAACTCATTCTAAAAAAAGTGTAACACTTTCATTTAAAATTAAAAGCGAAGTGAACGCTATGCTATGTATTAAATTTATGACACTTATTCTGCCATGAGTTAGCGCTGTCAAATTTACATGCTCTTTTCTCAGCAGGTTGCGCTCTGATCCGGCACAGGTGCTGCCTTTTCTGCCTTCAAATAAACGTGAGGGTGAGCGTTGCACGGTTGATTCTCTACGCTCTCCCCCCTCCCTTTGAAGTCATTTGAAAGGTCAAGGAAATGTTTTTATCCAACGATTCTATTTTTCCTGAATTCCCTATCTCAAATGCCTTAAAAAGTTATTGATATTTTTTTGCTAGCTGTTCTCGTTCTCCAGATATTAAGAATTAGTCACGACAATAAGTTCAATTTCCACACTGTGTGGCATTAGTCGAGAGTGAAGTAAACTCCTTGGTCGATTCTCGCATCGTGAATGTCGCTCATCGGAGACAGCCTTCTTAAAATAGCATACAAGGTCTTATCGCCCATCGTCAACGAACTGATTGGGGTTTTATCGAGGGCCCAGATATTCACCATACGCCAAATCGGAATACGGAAAAAGCGTGCGAGATTAAGAGAGACATTTTCCGAAGCGGTCGATACCAAGCGACATTTCAGACACGGAGACTCTGTAGCCGTAATTTTTTCTGTTGTAGAACGCATCTAAAAAACCCATAGCTAGTTCAGGTTCTCTATTAATTTTCTTGCTTTAGCGTACGCACTTATCAAATAAATAAACATCACTCTTTTGGCTATCAATTCGATTACTTGAATGAAACTAAATACATATCTTGTGTTTGGGTATGTCTCAATTTCAAATACACAAATTCAGTCAAAGTCAAATACGGCACTTGCAATTTCGCCAATATATACAACGTACATACAAACATAATATTTACAACCATTTGCAGAATCGATTTTCCAGCTATTCGACCCATAATTTCCCAACAGACCAACTGACAAACAGCAACAAATCCAAATACCCAACGAGGCAGAATCAGCATTGATGAGTGCAACTATTCAAATATTACATCGTAATTCGATGTATGGATTTCCCGATTTAACTGCTTAATATTGACGCTCATGTGTACACTAGTACACCTACGGTGACTAGGAGACTGAAGCTCTT